TCAAGACTGTACGTCTAATACTTTAAAAATGGAAATAACTACTTATAATGTACTTTAATCCCCCTCAACACTACTTGGGGGGGGGCGAATTTCACTATAACCATTTTGTAGCGGGTATCTACTCTGTAAAAGGTATCTGCTTACCAAATGTCAAGACTGTACGTCTAATAGTTCGAAAACGGGAATAATTGGCTGTAACGCCACTTTAACCTCTCGCAAACCCCTTGGGGGTCAGTTTTCATAAAAACATCTTTTGTAGCAGATCTTTCTCTATGAAAGAAACATGGCTGCCAAATTTTAAGTCGGTAGGTGAAATAGTTCAAGAACGGGAATATTTACCTATAGCAGGACCTAATTCCCCGCAACGCCCCTTAGGGCCTATTTTCGTAAAACTCATTTCTTCATAAATCTCTACTCCATGCATGAAATCTGCTTGTCAAATTTCAAGACTATACGTCTAATAGTTTAAAAATGGAAATAATTATCTATAATGCCCCTTATAATCCCCCACAACGCCACTGGGCATCTTTTGGAACATAGTTTTAAAAACTCAGAAACCTTCGCGGACCACTCCCCAAAGTTTCATCGTAATCGGACGAACGGCTTAAGAAGGCATAAGAGACGTACAAATAAACATTCATTTTTGTTTGTAAATGTCGCAGGGAAAAATGTGTTGAGGAGAAAGAGGGGAGGTAAAGGTCGGGTATAGAAAGCGAAAACATAGTTCTAGAAATGTTGACTCGTTCATTTTAACACCATGCGTGAATTGGCCATCTCCTTTAGGGATTTGGCAAAAACTCTAATTGGAGGACAAAAGGGATTGATTGGATTATTGAAAATGACTTAATGTTATTAAACGATTAAAGTCCAACTTATTTCCATTCATCGGGAATTTTTATATCCAATAGATCTTTATTTATCCTCTATAAATTTAAATTATGATTTACCCTGGTCCTCAAATACCGATAATTTAAGAAGTGATCACTTCCCTATAACCCTTAAATACAAAAGAACAAACAGCTCCGCAACAAATAATTTTAAACAAAAAACAAATTGGAACAAATTTATCAATCTTATTCAACAAAAATTAAATTTAAATCAAAATATAAATATGTATATTATAGAAGAAATCAAAAAAGCTCAAATCTTATCTCAAGAATCAGAAGAGAAAACAGATCAGTTCAAAAGCTCCATGGTGGACAGCAGCATGCGCGCATTTAAGAGCAAAAAAAAGAAAGAAAAGAAAACTGCTTAATAAAGCAAGAAAAAACTTTAAAGAAGAAGACTGGATAAAATATAAAGAAATAAGCGCAAAACTTAAGCGAACAATTAAAGCCTGTAAAGGAAACTTTTGGCACAAGACATGTGAAAAAATCTCTTCTCCTTAAGTTCTTTTTAAAATAATCCGAAAAATCAAAAATATAACAAATCCTAACTATTCTTCATTTAATATTATTGAGAATAACGGAGCCATACTAACAAACGAACAATCCCAAGCAGACTGTTTTTTACAACATTATGCAAAAAAAAACAATGATAGTATTCCAAATATCTCTATTCCAGACAATAGTCAAGATTCCTTTCTCTCACCCTCTCAAATCTTTCTCTTTAAAGGAATTAGAGATAGCAATATCTCACGAAAAGAAGAGCAGTCCAGGGCATGATAAAATTTCTCTCCAAACAATCAACCATCTCCCCATCAAAGCAATAAATCTTCTCCTGAAATCCTTTAAGGGCAGTTGGTCTTCAAATCAAATTCCAAAAGATTGGACTCACGCAATTATTCTACCTTTCATAAAACCTCAGAAAAATCCCCAGGAAGTTTCATTATACCGTCCTATATCTCTTACTTCAGCAATTGCCAAATTATTAGAAAGAATGATTCTGCATAGAATTTTAGATTTCAGTTTTCAAAATAAAATTTTTCATGTTAATCATCATGATTTTTATCCTCACAGAAGCAGCATTAATACATTGCTACAATTACACCATGATATTATACTGGCTAGAGAACGCAAGGAATATTTTATTTTGGTAGCATTAGATATTAAAGCAGCATATGAGAGAGACTCAGTGTGGCCAAGTGGTCTTGTTTCTAAATTAAAAAAGTTGGATACTCTTGTAGATTGCTTCGATGGATACAAAACTTCTTACATCAGAGAACAATTCAAATTAAAAGGAGGAACAATTTTTCAAAAATCATTAAAAAATAATTATGGTGTACCTCAGGATTGTATCTTAAGCCCTTTCCTATTTATGATTTATATGGCAGATATATTTGAAATTCCACACGACAGCTATCTTCTGATTTACGCAGACGATATATTCTTATACAATAGTGGTACAAATTGGAATAAAACAATAGGCGAAATGCAAGAATCCTTAAATAATATTTCAGCCTGGTGTAAAAAATGGAAATTGTCTACCTTTCCAGAAAAAAGCAGGCTAATCAACTTTTCCAGAAAAAGAAGCACAATACCTCCATTACTTAAAATATGCGACAAACCTATTTCCGAAGTGAAGAGTCTTAAAAAAAAAAAAAATCCTGGGTATAATCTTCGACCCCAATATCACCTGGAAAAATCATATTAATTACCTACTTCAGAAGGGATTCAAATAATTAAATGCCATTAAAGCCTTATCTTCTCCGAAAAAAGGAACAAGATATGATCATCTTTTAAATATTATTAATGCCTCAATCCATTCTATCTTTGACTGTGGAAGTCAACTTTTTTCCTTTTCTAGCAATAGCAACAGACAGAAACCAGAACCAATTTACAATGCTGCCTTACGTTTAGCCCTAGGTCTTCCAAGAAACACCCTTTAGATTCATTAAGAGCAGAGTCTATGAATGGAAGTATTAATAATCGCCATAATTTCCTTTGCCAAAAATTTATAACTTAGCAAATAGCATTAAAAGACTCGTCACCGAATGCAAGGTTATTTTGGGATATAAATAATATTTTTTATAAATATAGAGAGAAAGAGATCAGTATTTTTCAAAAGGCAACCAACCTGCTCCAAGAACTGTGTATCTCTAAAGGGGATATTCTTCAGTGGATCCCTCCTCCTCCAATCTATGAAAATCACAAAATAAACATCTATACTCATGAACTGCCATTTCAAAACAAGGATCTTCCAGATGTCATAGTGCAAAATATTTTTAATGATTACATTCAGTCAAACTTTCATAACAATATCATAATAGCAACAGATGGTTCAAAAAATACTAATCAAACATCAATAGGAATTTTGATCCCCAAGAAAAGAGTTCGACAAAATTTCATACTGAAAGAAATGATTTCAATTTTCACAGCTGAAGCTATAGCCATATGGACTGCGTTAAAACATTGGGTTTCTGAAACAGAAAACTATATCATACTGACGGACAGCTTATCAGTTCTAAAAAGTATCTAAAATATTAATAGAAAATCAAATATGATATTATTAAATTTAAGTTCAACTTTACGTGAGTATCTCCAAATAGCTCAATCAATTACATTCATTTGGGTACCAGCTCACAAGGTAATAGAGATTAATGAAGAAGTTGATAAATTTAGCTAAAGCCTCTCCCAAACCGTGGAATATTATTTCTTGGATTACTTGGGAAGATCTACATACATATTTTTTAAAAAAAAACATAAGTAAAAACGAAGAAATATGGAAAAAAAGCAAAAGACATAAAAATTATATTTATATTTCTCATCTTGAAAAGTGGAATAGACATGCAGCAAGAAATAGAAATACTGAAGTTTTAATCAATAAGTTGCGGGCTAAGAAATTACCATTAAATGATATTTATTTTCTTTTTAAACAGATTCTCCATTGTGTTCAGATTGTCAAGTACCAGAAACTAGTGAACATTTTGTTTTAACTTGTAACAAACACAAATCGCAACGTAAAATTTTGAAAAATTTTATCTCCAACCATAATGAATGGTCTTATACATCAATAGCGCATTGTAAAACAATACAGCATATTCAAAAAGTCGAAGAATTTTTAACACATCAACCAATAGATTCTAAAAAAATACCAGCTAATAGAGTATAAATATTCTATCTACACCTAACTACTGTTGAAGCACAAGATGATAACCAAGTTTACAGATATACAGTGCAATCACGACCTATCGTTGCATCCTAATTCAAGAAAATAATCCAATTTCTTTCGGAGCATAAGGCGCTGACCGAGTCTCCAGGTGTACAGTGTTATCACTGTATTGAACTGAACTGAACTGAACTGAATCCGGATTCAATTTGGGCAGTGATAACAATCGTGTACGTGTATAGAGGAAAGGTCTCCATTCACTGTACAGCGGCACACCACTCCCACAACCAAGATGATAGTATGACGTGACATTCTTAATACACATGTGTTTCCACTCAGGCTCCCAAGATCTTGCTGTATCTGGACGATGCTCGCTCACATACAGCAAGGTTTTCACAGGACTGTCTTAACCACATTGATACCCTTCCCAGGCCAGCTCGATCGTCAGATTTGTCATCAATCAAGCATATCTGGGATCGTTTAGGACAACAAACGAACAGCCAACGAGTTTGAGCGAATAAGAGGCGCGTTTACAGCAATTGTGGAACGAGATGTCGCAGGACATCATTCACGATTTGTTTGTTTCAATGCCCGATTAGGGTTTCTTTCCCTGGAAGTAGTCAGATTTTCATATTTCTTGCATTCCTGTAAATTATACTTGGTTCCCAGGAATGACAAGTTACTAAGTGAGGTGCACTAGTGAGGAAGCTATTTTTGACGGGACTGTAGATTTCGACCTCCGATGTAAATTTGGGCTGACCACACTGTTACGTTCATTAGCCCCGAATTTCTTGGAAAGACAAATGTTCGTTGGAACCCCCAGCAATGGGTAAAAGTGTAACAAGAGAAAGTGCAACACCATTGGTGACTGGGAAAAAGAGAATATTTAGAACTATTTTACTCTGATCAGTTCCTCTCTGTCGAACATCACTCGTTAATAAAATGTAGTTTTTTCCCCCACGTGGTCTATGGTTTGGATACCTGGCTCTCATCCAGGAGGCTAGGGTTCGATTCCCGGCGTCGGAAGCTCTTTTGCCGGCTGGGTGGCGTGGTTGGTATGTAGTTGGTTCTCTGCACCCATGGGGTCAAGTCGGTGGCTTTTCATGATTAAGAAAATAGACAACGGTCATGTCGTATGATTATACGGCATGAAAAAGATCCCTTGAGTGTCCACTTGGCTTGGATGATCTCGGCAAAATTAAATTCCTAAGTTCAAATTTCACATCAGTAGAGCTCAGGTGCCTTCCTCTGGGGAGGAAACTGGGTGTCAAAATTACTTGCGGTAGTTGGTATCGCCTATATCAAGGATGGCGAACCATTGGACGCGTGCCTTGAATGGCACGCGACACAATATTTTGGGCACGCCAGTGATCAAAATGTGGTCTGCATTTTATTTCAAAACAACCAATTTTACGATGAAGTATTACGAACAAACGCGAGTGATCGGTCAGGGTGCGGCGGGAAGCACACTCGTTTGTTGTTGCCTTGCCTTCGTTACTACGTCCTGGACTGCAATTGCTTAGGATACAAAGTTCGTCTACGCATAGCGTAGTCAATTTCGTTGACACAACTGTATTTTAAATTTATTTATGTTACATTAACGATTTTTAAGTGCTATTTAACATGGCTAGTTCAACAAAAGAATAAATAGCGCAAGATAGTAAGTGTAACAGAGAATTTGAAATTTGGTAAATCTAGAAATATGGCATTATTAGTAAAGGCGACAAAAACCGGTATGTGTTTTATCTTCTGAAATAGTGGTGTACTGAACATCGTCTGTAAAACGGCATTTTGAAACAAATCGCAAATATTCTTGTCAAAAAAGTGAACCACAGCAAAAATAATTAATTGCTTGAAAACCGATTGTAGATACTCCAATTGAACATGCATTCTACTAAAAGCAATATCTTACAACCCTAATATAAGTACTTTGTCATTTAATCTGCAACAACAGAACACACACTAATGTTACCATTTCATGTTACTTTTTTGAATTACACGTATAACTAAAACATTTACAACTATGCAGTGCAGAAGGTATTTTTTTCGTAGTAAATAGAGTTTTGAGCTCTTAGTACTTAGTTTTATTATTTTCACTATAATCACAAGTCAAAATTATTTGACGGCACGTCTACACCCCATTAAACACTTCTTTAGGAAAAAATGGCACGTTGATTCATAAAGGTTCGCCACCCCTGGCCTATATAGTGCCCCTCTAAAAATTGATACCAGCTCCTGGGGAACGTACTAGGCCTGCAAAGGTTAAAATACCAATGCGCAGCTCCATTAGAAAAAAAAAACCTTTTTTGAGGAACGTCATTTCACAGTCTACCAACACGGTCAATGTGATACGGTTCTAATACCTTGATTTACTTAGAATAACGTAGGGTTGCAGTAGCCCAGTGGTCAAGGTATCGGATCATGACAGGCATGGCATGAGTTCTAGCCCAGTACCCCCAAAGCCCCGCCATGTAGGGGCGCGATGCACATTCAATCCGTCGAGAGCTCTAACGTCCTCCTGTTGGTGTGGTGTAGTAGTTAGGAGTTCAAAAATACGAGGTCTGTCACCGAAAGTCCTCGTGTAGCTGAACAGTGCGACGATAATATTCACTTTTTTAGAATAACGTACGTACCAATACATAAAACTGACATTTATTTGATTTGTTAATTTATTTTTCTTCGGATATTTGTTTTCATTATAAGCTCCCGTTCACTTAAAGCTCCCGTTGATACGCCACTACGAAATCTCGAGCGTAATGTTAATCTTATGGAGTTTTTCTTTCTCGAATTATTTACATCTAGGGTATTGCTTTCAATTGCATGGAATAAAATGATCTAAAAAAGCGGGAAAAAATTACATTCTTCCATTTTTTCGATTTTTTTTTAAAAAAATTTCTAAGTATTTTTAAGTATTATTTAAAGCTCTAAAAATTCATATCTAGTGCATTAAAACGATCATAAAAAATATTTTAAATTATCGCATAAAAAGAGTAAAAACAGGAAAAAAATGTCCTTTTTTTATGCTCTTTCAAACGCGCATACATTAAAAATTTTTAATTAATTTTTTTTGCGAGTAATTATTAAGTCAGCATTGCACATTTGGGAAGAGGGGGAAAGTAAACTTGTAACTCCGCCTTCTTGCGGAAGGATACATGAAATTTCCCAGTATGTTCCATTGACGAATGGTGATTTATGACTCGTTTGGTGGGTTGTGAACGAGAATCGTAGTTTTCTTAGAAATTGTAAGGGGTTAAAAGAGGATATGTGAAAAGAAAAGAAAGAAAAAGAGAGAGAGAGAGAAAGAAAGAAACGTGTATACTTTAAGTCCCTTCATTCCTGGGAATGATGGGACTAATTTTTTACATACATATCAGCAGTTGTTTGCAGGTTTTAAAAAAATACAACATATACAATATGAGGGGAGAACTATCTTTTTTTTTAAATATTATTTTAACTGAAATATATATATATATATATATATATATATATATATATATATATATAATTACTCTAAACAAGCTTTATTAATCACTAAAGTGAGCATTGAGTAAAATAAATATTGATTATGTACGGTGGTACATAGATACTGGTATCGTGCGTGCGTGTTTTTCTGGAAAATAATACTGGAGTCCAAGCTTGTCTTTTTCTGGATTTAATGGTAACACAATAAACTTGAATAAAACAAAAACTTATTAATTTTACAAAAATTAAATCCTCAGTTTAAATATCAGACTGAAAATATTCTAGTAAGCAAGCAACAGCACTCTTAGAAAGTCGAAGTCAAGATCAAGATTTTAAATACAGAGTGTTTTTTTTCCAGGTATAGAAGTTTAAGTTGGCATTACTTTCCAAGATGGCGACCGATTTAACAGCTGTCAAGTTGTGACAAATCTATACGGAACTTTATCACTAACCTTCTGAGTCGTCCTTTTTAGGGAAATTTAATTCCCTACCTATTTCCAATCAACTCCAAAAAGAGGACAGGATTCCTTGTTATATGCAGATTAGATAAAGTATTTAAGTCAAACGGAATAGTAAAGTTGGAGCAGTAGGAGATAGAGATTGAAGCAGAAAGTTATAGTGAATTTAAATTGAAGATTTCTTGTTGGAGATAATTTAATCTCAAGAAGAGTTGAGATTCCGTTGGTAATTATTGATTTATAATTAAAGTCTCATTAAAGTTTTAGGAGTGAGATTAAAGTTAAATGTTCAATAGGAACATTATTAAATATAAAACTGGGATCTCTTATCGTGGTAATCTCTGCGTGATCGTTATTTAATGGTTAATTAATTGGATCATTAATTAAGTTAATTTAAAGGATATTACCTTTAAAACCTCACAATACTAGTTAGATATATTTGTTAATAAGTCTTTGATTTTATTTGGATAAGATAACCAAATAAAGAAAGTTGTTTATAAAAATGGCTACTGGTTCTTACATGACTCCTATTTATTCTCGTTCTCAAAGTGAGGTCCAAGGGGACCTTCACAAAGTATTTATTCTCAGTTTGGTTTGGCAATTCATCATGAATAGACTCACGCCTGAACAGCGCTTTCAAATTGTGCAATTTTATTTCGAAAATAATGGTCGATTTTCATAAGCGAATTTTGTTTAGCGATGAAGCGCACTTCTGGTTGAATGGCTACGTCAACAAACAAAACTGCCGCATTTGGAGTGAAGCTAATCCACAAGTGTATGTCGAAACACCGTTACATCCAGAAAAACTGACTGTTTGGTGCGCTTTATGGGCTGGTGGAATCCTTCTTCAAAAACGATGAAGGCCACAACATTACAGTCAATGGTTATTGGTATAGAGCAGTGCTTCTCAAACTGTGGGGCGCGCCCCCCAGGGGGCGCGATGACCTTACGAGGGGGGCGCGAGCATATCGAAAATAAAAGATTTAAAAAATAATTAGTTTACTGGAATGAATTAAAACAAAATACTTTCAGACATAATAAAAAATGCACTTTTACTCTGATATAATTTAATGGCGATATTAAGCCATCAATTAGCTATCTTTGATCCTATAACCAAATAAAAAAACTTTTATTTGATTTGCTGTCATCCCGTGATGAGAGATTTTTTTATTACGCTTTTTTTTAACCTAACATACTACTCTTTCAGAGAAAAAACAGATCCCGGACCCAGAATCCAAAAACTTTAGGAACATAAAACTTCATCACTGTCATTATTTTTGAAATACTGCACATTATAGCTGTAATCTCTTTGACCTTCTAAGTTATTGGTACAGTTAGTTATGACCCCTCTCTTATGTGTTCTCTGTTGCGCTTTTTTTCATGCAAAAGGGTTTTATGATATTTGGAAAACCACGGAGAGCACACACACATAAGCACATGAAGGATTACTTGGCCAAGACATATTTTTATAAATATTCTCAATGTATAAAGTATAACGAAAAACGTTTCACACAATTTTTTAGCAGTAACATACATATTATCATAATGAATATACTTTTTACCCGGAAGTGGTCGCGCGGGACACACACACAGATTACGAAATCGTTAATTCTGGCAAAACTGTTTATTTATTATCAAAGAAAAATTGAAAAGTCCTTGAAATTAGGTAAGTAAACTTTCTCTTAGTTAAATTATTCACTTGAATCATGATTTGTATCGTGTACAATAAAATAATTATAAAAAAAAAAGGATTGGGGTAACTCAATAACCCCGACCGTATCGAGTGCGCGCCTGCTACCGGGTTAAAACATGTTGAAGTCTTTTCGCTTTAAATATTAAAAATAATACAATTATTCTTCATCGATATTTTATATTATTGATCATTATTTAACATCAGTGACGCACACAAGGGGGGGGCCCCTTCCCCAAAGCCCTTGATTTTTTTTCGATTGATTATAATTCTAAGTTTATAATACGCAAAATTTAGTTAAGTATTTGTTATTAATGATTAATTTTATTAATTAATGCTAATTATTTATTCAAGAATTAGTTTTTTGCTGTGTTTTGTTCCCGAAAATCGACAAAATCAAAAGGAACCTGATACAA